GTCTTTGCCTTCTTTTACCCCGTAAACGGTAACAATCTGCTTCCTTCCCACGCATGGGGGGGCTCCACCCGCCCATCGTTCAAGGCAGGTCCACCGGTTCAAACAGACAGAGCAAGGGTTTAGCTCCTTCTTGAAAGCCCTTGCCTACCCATTCCGATGGAACCCATTGCTACCGACCGTGGCTGATTTACTAGGCCTTTAAGACCCTAGTAAGTTCCTTGAACTGTAAATTGTGGACATACATCAGTCGGTCCATGTCCTGTGTCTCCCACCCATAATAAACGCGCAGGCCAAGTGCAGTCCAAGGAAAACACCTTCTTCTTATTGGTTTTTTCATCAGCCCCGTGCGATAACTGGTTTTACCAATACCCCGCACGTTCCTGTAATATTTATTCAAATATCCTTTCTATTTCATCCCTTGGTTCATGTGATACATTGGCTGTCTGGTTTGAGGGGTTCCTTCATTTTATAATTGTGTTCCCGGCCCAGGCCTCCGTGTTTCCGCAGCGCTCCTACGCTAAACATCGTCTGACGTTGCTCTTTCGGCTATGTCCATGCCCGCAGCTCATCTCGCCGTCTTACACGCGCGGCACCACGCTGGCCCTTGGCGCGCGCGAGACGTTGCCGGCCGCGACGTTCGTTCCGTCACGCTACCGAGCGCCGCGCCCACCGGGTGCCTGCCTGCCGCCCGAGCGATACGTCTGCGAATACTGTGGATCGCAGATCTAACTGGTTCTGACGCGCCACACCGCCGCGACATCGCGCCTGTCGCGCAGCTCCCATATGACACAGAAATGTTAAAACTGAATCCAGACCAGGCCTCTAACTGAGACCTGTGTTTATTTGTCAAAATGTGTAGCAACACCAGGCTAGTAAAGGAGACCTACGTCTAATTAAGACCCTGCCTTTAATTGAAGTTTTACGTTATATAAATGGTCATAGTTATGTTTGGTTTGGGATTAGGTTTTAGGTTTTAGAATTATCCTGTGGTGAGGATTAAAGTTTTAGGTTTAGAGTTAAGAATAGATTTAGAAATGACCACAGCTAACAACCTGTTAGCCTAGTTAAATGTTTATAGTGGTGAGAATGGATTCAAAAGTTGGTATTTAGGAAATTACTAGTTAATCAAAATCCTCAGAAGTTTAGAAGCGCAAATGCATGTGTTTGTGGTGTTAGAAGTGCCTCCCCAAAGCTAAAAAGGGCGTGCAAAGACATGTCGGCTAACACTCATACCTGCACTGCTTTGACTGACTATTAGAAATTGTGCTATGCTGCACTGATTGATGCAACCAAACCATGAGGGTAGCAGAGTACACAGCTTTTCTTTCTTCTCTCCCTCTCTTTTGTGGGTTTGATTCACTCAGAATAGATTCCTTGACCAGCAGTCAGACACTAGCCAGTGGTTTGGACAGGCCTGTTCTGAGCTGGAAAGAATGCTGATTCATGTCCTCAGTCAGACCAACTGTTTCTGAATGCCTCTTCCAGAGAGCTTATCTCATCAGCCAACAAGCTGGGAGAGAATTTATTTTGGGGGGCACTGGATTAGGTAGTTTTCCTGTTTTTTAATTTTAGAAGTCAGTCACGGGTGTCATTTGTAACAGTTTGAACACCTTTGGAGGCTGAATGGTGCTTTAGACATTAGAATTGATGTTTCAAACAACAGGGCGTTAAAGTAGTCAAAACACAAGGAGGGGTATTTAAACAATGAAATGTGTGTTCACCCTCCTCCTTTCTTATAATAATTAGCCTTTAAGCTTGCACACTCTGACACTGTCCACACATGACCAGTAGAAGATGTCTAACATAACAAAGCTTCAGACCATCATAAATCACAGTCTCTATGCTCACACTGAGATAACAGCTGGAGTTGTTGCTTCAAACTTTTTTGCAAATGAAGACCAGCAGAAATACAAGTGATAGTAAAGCAGGGATACTCAACCTGCTTGCCGGGGCCACCTTTGCAAAATGAGAGGAGACCAGGGGTCAGTTAATAAACAAACATTAATCTATCAGTTAAAATGAATAAAAATTGTTGATGTGGCACAATAAGAAGACTTCAAAGTAAAATCTTGTCTTTTCTTGTGGTACTACCAGGTGGGAACGCAGCGCTGAAATTAGCAAGTTTGGACTTGTGATGGTGCCTGATATTAGCAACTTTGCATACAGCAATTATCATTTGGTAAAATTTCTGCATTCAAATGTCTAAAAACTCTAGAGCTATGTTCTATATGTAGTCGAGTTGTGTCCTTACATTATCTCAAATGTTTTTAACAATGTTCAAACCACTCTCATTTTATTTAGGTGCGTTTCACCTGTCGCCTGTCTATGGTGTCACATCTCCTTTGTGCGTGCGTCAGCATTGTGGCATTGAGGTTAGCGTAGCTGCTGCTAGCATCAGTTAGATCAGAGCTGCAGATGAATTCTTTATTGAAAGAAGAGCAAAGAACAGCATTGAAGGTTTTGTGCGATGGAAATATGCTTTCACTCTTCTCCCACACTGACATACTGGCTGTTTTCAGTATGAATGCCCGGTAATTATGGTGCTGACACATTCACATTAAATTTTGCCAAATTTTATTTTCAGTGCCAAAATGTAATGTCCCTGTTCTCGTCGCATAGTTAAACTTCAATTTTACTATTACAATGATTCTGAAAGAGTTAGCAGATATCCTACTTTACTTACATTTTACCACTCAAGGGCAGCAATATCAAACTGTGTTGTCTACAATTATTGTAGCTAAGTGGCAGGAACACATTTCCGCCTCTATTCCAGACCGGTTTCACAGGGAATGAAGGGATCAAAGCCTGACACTTAAATACAACATGGCTTCCTAAATGTATTAGTAAGTGGTGGTATGTAATAACAGTACTCAGCTAGGTCAAAATCACTATATCTATAGTGTCAGAATTCAAGAACTGCTGGTAAGAGTAGAATTATGTGGACAGCAAGAGTCATTGTCAGTATTTGTTCCCACATTTAGCAGCTCAATGAAATTACCTGTGCTGCGTAAATCTGATTGTAGGTAATCAAAAGCAAAAAGAAACCCAGCATCCTGCAGAAGCACAGCCAGTACATCATTCGCCATTGGCCAGTTGAGTGTCTAATTTTAGAGAGCATGCAGGTCTTTACAGTGCATTTATCCCCTGCGCTTGTTTTGCGAATTAAGACTCAAGTCAGGCCTGGGAATCTAAGCCCAGCACAAACATGACATAGGAACGACCTCAGAAAAGAGCCATGTTTGAAAAGTTCATATTAGTTGGTTTAACCAACACAACTTCCTGTAGAGCATCAAAACTGACCCAGCAGAACCTGCTGGCATGCAGCCAGTGTCTTGTAATTACTTTTTGGTTAGATCCTTATTTCTGATGTCTTCGTTTTTAATGCCAGTCATCTAGTGTTATCTTTTAGTCAATGATATTAAGGAACGATTAATGGCAGTAATTTCCACTTTGCTCTTAAGCTTTAAAATAGGTGATTTAGACTGTGTTGTGTCTGTTTTTGTACTGGGACACTGGAGGGCTTATGTTGGGGATTAGATTTTGCATAGGGCCCCAGGAAGGTTTGGGCCAGCTGTTCAACAGGAAGTAATTTTCTAGCGGCCATCATCAGACTTTACAATTCATCCACTGTGTGTCTGAGCAGAGCCAACATTGAATTTTTTGTAGACCAACTGTTTTAGTCTACTTGATACAGTAGGTGGATTCAGTTCCTCAGCTGACAAGTACTAATAAACTTTGTTTGCTAATCATCCAGCGTATTCAGGTTGTGTGTTTCCAGCCTAAGGTGACGCCACGGGAGTCGGCAGAACAGTGTGCAGATTCTACTTTCTGTCTTATGTACTTGTATATATAGACTAGCAGATATCTTAAAGGTCCAGCATTTAGGATTTAGTGGCATCTAGAGTTGATAGGGTGATGATGAAACCTGAAAATGCGAAAGGCCCTGTGTAGAGCCAGTGTTTGGTTTGTCCGTTCTGGGATATTGTAGAAACATGGTGGTTCAACATGACGGACTCCCTCTGTAGGTAAAAAAAGCTCATTCTGAGTTAATGAAAACACAACAATTCTTATTTTCAGCTGATTATACATTAATAAAAACATAACTATGAATATTATATTCCATTTCTGACAATACATTCTCCTAAATGTTACACACTGGACCTTTTAAGTGTTGAATGGTTGTAGTAGGTGCTGGTTCCTTCTGTCTTGAAGACAGTCTGACAGTCATCACATAAGGGATGCTTCTGGTGGTCCCCATTGATTTTGCAGTGTCTGTCCTTTTCAGGGTTTTGGATCATCTGCATCAACTTCTTGTACCCATTGGACTGGATCTGCTGCCCCTCCATCCCTCTTTCTATTGTCTTCCTCACCATTAACAGTATATATTAGTGGACAGAACTGCCAGGTCTGAAAAGTGAAGCCACTACTGAACGAAAAACAACCAATCAGAGCCAAGAAAGATTGAAAGATATTTTGGGTTGATGGCCTGAAGATAGTTGATTGCTGAGTCTCATTTCCAGCATCAATATTTAGTGAGTTGGGAATGAGACTCAACGATTAATCTTGCTCAGCTCTGATTGGTTGTTTTTGTTCAGGCACGGCCACTGATAATGTCATTAGGAGCACTAGGAGGAGCCAGAGGAACCTTTTTTCTGTCTTATGTACTACTG